TGGTTTATTTTAGTAGATGTTTGCATGTTATTAGCGTATTCTATAAGTGTAAGTTACACAGGTCAAGTTAGTCCCGATAATGTTCGTTGCATGTGACTGGTCACGGGGTGGTCCGGAGGGGGAGTTTTGACCACGTTTTTAAAGATAGTGCGTTTTTGGGGTAGATATGGATTTATATAGGTTGGGGTTCACAGTGTGCAATAAATCATGCGTTTTGTGCAGGCGGTTTTTTCCTGTCAGAGCATATCTCTGTTGAACCAGTCTTGTGGAGATACTGGCTTATTTTACAAAGCAAGGCGTTACAAAATTAATCTCCATCGGTTACTAGCTTCTGTAATGTGGTTTTGGTTACCCCAAGAACTCGCCACACCCTGCGATTATCATATCAACACATATATAGAGGTGGAGCTATCCTTAATGACCTGGAATACAGTATAGTGCAGCGCATGAACGAATAGCTGTAGCATAGGCTCCAGGTAGAAGGCCATTGGTTAATGTTCTGTTTTTTACAGTCCTAAACTGAGCACTATCTTTTGGCCATTCCAGGCCAGTGTTCAGATACATATATGAAAAAGAAGATTTTTGCAAGTAAAAATCCTCCAGCCCAGCTTTTGTAGCTCTTGAAAACCAAACAAGAACCACCAGAACTTTGAGTCTATCCAGATCAGCCCTACGCCACCAACATCATACATATTATTTATTACATACACACTCACCGACACCTCACCACCACCACATCATAAGATTTTGAAATTCAGATGGTTGTTGTTGCAATAGTATCCATTCCCCAGTACTATCACTAGGGATCTGTTTCGGAGCCACTATTTACCCAAACCTGTGATTCTCCAGTCTACATGGCCCTCAGAACCCATGTGTATGATAAAGTCGGCCTGAAAAGTTAGGTATACCATATACGGTTTGCAATCTCCACAAATTTGTATTTTCCAGTCTGCAATATTGATTGGTAACATATCTGAAGTGGTTAAGTGGAACTCCCACCAGTTCAACCATGTTACTCAATGATCAACTGTAATCAAGGAGATACTTATCTTTTTCTCATAAGGGTATTGAAGGTGGTAAGCCAATTTTAGTCCTACTAGTATCTGATGTTCCTTAACCTCACCTATAATTGGTTTTTTAAAGACTCTAGAATCTTCATAATTCTCTCTCAAACTTGAAGTTTATTTCTCCATTGTTCTTGTTGCCCATCATGTCTTGCTAGCGAGCCATAACGTAAATCTGATTCTCTTTCTTTTATGTAAGGACAGTGTTTATTCGCCTTTTGAGCTTTTAGGATTCTGGGGATTTCAGACATGGTCCCATTGCTGTCTGAGACTCAGTCTTTTGTATTTAGCCTCAGTATATTTATTATAACTTCACAATAAATCTAAATATCTTCATTTCCTGTATTCTTTTGAATGGGAAACTGTCCTGGTCTTTTGGGATAAATAGCTAATATACAATCTTTTCACCCATGCCATGAAGCAGCAGAGAGGAGGTGGACCATTGGCTCCTATTGAGTCTAAAATTTTAACTGTTTAGTTCACCCCAGGGCAAGTTTTCTTGCTTTATCAGTATTTGCTGCTTCAGAGCAGGAGAGCATAGCGCCACTTTTGCATGCGCTTTTTTGCACTGGACACTCTATGCAATATGATACCCTTCAGTCATTCTAATCTGATATATTCCATGCAGTCTTGTCAAAGTTGGCATCTAAATCATCACTCCCTTATTAATATAATCCACAAAAGAGAATTTTCACTGATACTGAGATCCAAGAATAGATGAAGAGATACAAGATTAAGAGACACACAAGTAGTTTTTTCTACCTAGCAGTAAGAGTAGCCTAAAAAAGAACTAGCAGAAGAAAAGGTGGAACTGCAAGTCCATATGAAAACAAAGCGTATGTGATTTCTGTGCATTTTAAACACAACTTCTACAATTGAACTAAAATGGCAAATTGAACACCTGCTCTAGAGTCCCACCTGCTCCTTAAATGCTAAGAGAGTCCTGAAAAATAAACAAGGGATAAGTGTCTTCAGTGAACCAAAAACGATGAGGAATCTCTGAAAGATAAAAAGGCAGGTTAGATCAGATTAAATGAGGTAATCATATTGCTATAGAGTGTCCAGGAAAAAAGCGCATGCCAAAAGTGGGCGCTGCTCCATGCTCTGAAGCAGCAAATATGAAAAGCAAGAAAACTTCCCTGGGGGAAACTAAACAGTTATTAATTAAAGTGACTCAATAGGAGCCAAATGGTCACCTCCTCTGCTGCCTTCAGGTCATGGGTGAAAAAGGTATATATAGCTATTTATCCCCAAAAGACCAGACAGTTTCCCATTAAAAGAATACAGGAAAGAAGATTTTAGATTATTGTGAAGTATAATAAATATACTGAGGCAAATACAAAGACCTGAGTCCTCAGACAGCAATGGACCATGTCTGAAACCCCAGAATCCTAAAAGCTTCAAAAGGGAATAAACACTGCCTACATAAAAGAAAGAGAATCAGATTTACGTTATGGCTCGCTAGCAAGACATGATGCAACAAGACAATGGAGAAATAACTTCCAAGTTCTGAGAGAGAATTATGAAGAATTCTAGAGTCTTTAAACAACCAATTATGAGTGAGGTTAAGAACATGCAGATATATAGGAACTAAAATGCTTACCACCTTCAAACCCTAGAGAAAAAGAAGTAATCTCCTTGTTACAGTTGATCCTTGAGCAACATGGGTTTGAACTGTGGGGGTCCACTTAACACTCAGATACTGTCCAATCAAATGCAGACTGAAAATACAATATTTTGGAGATGCAAACCTATATGGTATACCAACTTTTCAGGCCGACTTTTCATACACATGGGTTCTGAGGGGCCCATGGTAGGACTTGAGAATGCACAGGTTTTGGTAAATACGGGGCTCCTGAAACCAATCCCCTATGTATACTGGGGAATGACTACTATGTGCAACAACAACCACTAATCAAATTTAGTGATGTGGAACAATAAACAATAAACTATCGGTCAGAGGGCCTGATCTGGGAAGACTCAAAGTTCTGGTGGTTCTGGTGTTGGTTTCAACAGCTACAAAAGCTGGGGCTGGAGGATTTACTTCCAAAATTACTTCTTTTTTCATATATGTATCTGACACCTGGCCTGGAATGGCCAAAAGAAGTGCTCAGTTAGGACTGTAAACCAGAACATCTACCAATGGCCTTTCTACCTGGAGCCATGCTACAGCATTCGTTCATGCTGCACTATACTGATTCCAAGTCATTAAGGATAGCCCACACTCAAGTGGAAGGAAATCAGATTCCATTCTTGGTAACAAAACCACATTACAGAAAAGCATGAACGATGGGAGATAATTTTGTAACCTTCTTTGTAAAATAAAGTATCTCACAAGATGTAACAGAGAATATGCTCTGACAGAAAAAAAACTGAACACATGATATACAAATGTAAAATATATAAATCATATTACAAAAACATATATTTAAATGTTAAAACTGTGAAGTACTTGAACAACATTATCGACTAACTTGACCTAACTAACATTTATAGAATACCTAATAACAGCAGAACATCTACTAAAATAAACCATACTGTGGCTATAAAACAAACCTCAATAAATCTGAAAGAATTCAAGCACTACAAATTATGTTCCCTGACACCAATGTAATTAAATTAGCAACCAATAACAGATCTCTGGATAATCTTCAAATATTTGTAAGCTAAATAACACACTTTTAAATAACCCAAGGATCTAAGAAAATGTCAAAAAGGAAATAAGACAGTATTTTCGTATGAATAAAATAAAAACAATATATCAAAATTTATGTGATCCAGCTAAAACTGTACTTGGCAAGAAATTTATAGCACTAAAAACCTATCTAGTAAATGAAAAAAGGTCTTATATCAACTTGTTTCTACGTTGAGAAACCAGCAAAAGGGTAAAATAAACACAAAGCAAGCAAAGGAGGAAATGATAAATATCAAAATACAAATCAATGAAATAAAGAATACCACACAAATAAAAGAAAAAAAAATGAAATTAAAGCTGGTTCTTTGAGAGGATCAGATTAACAAAATTTATAAACCACTAGCCAGAGTAAGGTTACAAATTTCAAACATCAGAAATGATAAATATTTTTAAATAATAAGGGAATATTATGAACAAATTTAGGCCAATGAACCTGACAACTAGAATGAAATGAACACATTCCTTTAAAAAAACCACAAAACAACCAAAACTCACTCAAGAAGGCACAGATACCTTGATACCAAAAGCAAGAACGGTATTTACAAAAC